AGCAAACAACAGAATGGGAAAACATATTTGCAGTTTACCCATCTGACAAAGGGCTGATATCCAGAATTTACAAAGAGCTAAAACAGATTTACAGGAAAAAAACAAGCCCATTCAAAAGTGGGTGAAGGATATGAACAGACACTTTACAAAAGAAGACATACATAGGCTAACAAACATATTAAAAAATGCTCATCATCACTGGTCATTAGAGAAATGCAAATCAAAACTACATTGAGATACCACCTCATGCCAGTTAGAATGGTGATCATTAAAAAATCTGGAGACAACAGATGCTGGAGAGGATGTGGAGAAATAAGAACACTTTTACACTGTTGGTGGGAGTATAAATTAGTTCAACCATTGTGGAAGACAGTGTGGCGATTCCTCAAGGACCTAGAAATAGAAATTCCATTTGACCCAGCAATCCCATTACTGGGTATATATCCAAAGGATTATAAATGGTTCTACTATAAGGACTCATGCACACAAATGTTCACTGCAGCACAGTTTACAACAGCAAAGACCTGGAACCAACCCAAATGCCCATCGATGAAAGACTGGACAGGGAAAATGTGGCACATATACACCATGGAATATTATGCAGCCATCAAAAACGATGAGTTCATGTCCTTTGTAGGGACATGGATGAACCTGGAAACCATCATTCTCAGCAAACTGACACAAGAACAGAAAATCAAACACCGCATGTTCTCACTCACTGGCAGGTGTTGAACAATGAGAACACATGGACACAGGGAGGGGAGCACTACACACTGGGGTCTGTTGGGGGGAAATAGGGGAGGGATTGGGGAGGGTGAGGAGTTGAGGGGAGAGAGCATGGGGAGAAATGCCAGTTATAGGTGAAGGGGAGGAAGGCAGGAAATCACTCTGCCACATGTGTACCTATGCAACAATCTTGCATGTTCTTCACATGTACCCCAAAACTTAAAATGCAATAAAAAAAAAAGTAATATAAACTAGGCCAGGTGTGGTGGCTCACGCCTGTAATCCTAGCACTTTGGGAGGCTGAGGTGAGCAGATCATGAGGTCAGGAGATCATGACCATCCTGGCCAACATGGTGAAACCCCGTCTCTACTAAAAAATACAAAAATTAACTGGACATGGCGGTGCATGCCTGTAATCCCACCTACTTGGGAGGCCGAGGCATGAGAATCGCTTGAACCCAGTAGGAGGCAGAGGTTGCAGTGAGCCGAGATAGCGCCACTGCACTCCAGCCTGGTGACAAAGTGAGACTCTGTCTCAAAAAAAAAAAGTAATATAAACTACAGAAAGTAAAGCTTTCTAGTTGCAGCAGATATGCAAAAGATGCAATGAGAAAGCAAAAGGTTTATGGGTAATAAGGATTAAGAAACACAACTATAAAGAAATAAGACTGATTTTTCATTAACTTACCAAAACTGAGTGATTTCCCTTTCAAAAGAGTCTAAGAACAAAGTTCTAGGTAATGCCTTAAAAGTCATGGGCATATGACTATGTACTTGAACAAGCCTACAAAGACATAAATGGGTGTAGTTTGTACTTGTAGTCAAATTCACTGCAAAGCTAACCTGACACATAATAGCAGCCTTACTTATAAGGTTGCTTTATAGTTTACATAACAATTCCCCACATTCTCTTATTTGCCATGTATTTAATGATAGACATATTGTGCCACATGTTAATTAAGCCTAATTAGTAAGTTCTTATGAGTGACTGTAATTAGTGGGACTTGTTTGGTTCCAAAACAAATTTTCAGTTCTCTATTTACTTCATTAGTTACCTACTATTTATAATCTGGATCAGTTTAGATTATATTTTCTGTTTCGTATCATGTTTATCCTCGTGTATATTAAGAAACAAAACTCCTGGCTGGGCACAGTGGCTCACACTTGTAATCCCAGTGCTTTGGGAGGCCAAGGCAGGAGGCTCTTTTCTCTTTTCATGCCAGGAGTTCAAGACTAGCCTGGGCAATGTAGCGGAACCCCATCTCTAAAAATTAAAAATTAACCAGATATGATGGCCCATGGCTGTAGTCCTAGCTACTTAGGAGACTGATGGGAGGATTGCTTGAGCCCAGGAGTTCCAGGTTACAGTGAGCTGTGACCACACCACTGCACTCCAACCTGGGCAACCAAGCAAGACGCTGTCTCTTAAAGAAAAGAAACAAATTCCTGAGACCTTATTCCTAGGCAGCTGAACTTCCTTCACTCCAGGACTTTCTTGTTACCAACTCTCAAACTCTACCAGTCCCCTATTATTCCCACATCTCTCACTAGCACTTATCTTTCACACTCAGGCTTGTATATAACATGTAACATTCATTCACCAGCAAATATTTGTTGAGCACCATATGTCAGAGATTTGAGCAAGGCATTGGAAATATACTCAATGATTGGCAAAGCAGCCTGGTCCCTGCTCTCATGGAGCTCACACACTAAAGGGACAGTCAAAGCCCAATTGAAGTGGAGGAGGTAGGCAGGAAGTTACCATGTTTATTTCACTCTCTAAACTACAATCTGTCCTTTATCAATAATAAAGATGATGGGCTGGGCAGTGGCTCACATCGGTAATCCCAGCACTTTGGGAGGCTGAGGTGAGAGGATTGCCTGAGGTCAGGAGTTTGAGACCAGCCTGGCCAACATGGTGAAACCTTGTCTCTACTAAAAATACAAAAATCAGCCAGGCATGGTGGCACACTCCTGTAATCCCAGTTACTCGGGAGGCTGAGGCAGGAGAATTACTTAAACCTGGGAGGCAGAGGTTGCAGTGAGCTGAGATCATGCCACTGCACTCCAGCCTGGGCAACAGAGTGAGACTCTGTCTCAAAATAGTAGTAGTAGTAATAATAACAATAATAATAATAACAAAGGGTCTCTGCCTTTTATTCCTCATTTGGCTCAGCCTCCCAAGTAACTGGGAGTAACCTTTTCCAGCTCACCACTGTTTGAAGCAGCCACTCTGTGTTTGGGCTCTGTCTATTCAAAGGTTTTTTGGAGGGGACCTAATCCAAATTGGCTTCCCTGTGTCCTCTCTTGAGGGATCTTGGTAGTACCTCTAATACCTTTTCCAGGTCATAGTTTGGGCCCCCTCTACCCTCCCGCAGAGGATGGTGCTATAGAAACAGTGCTTGGGGTCAATAACCTGGTATGGAGTAGTTGAGGGGGACTGAGGTTAGGCAGGAATTGATGAGGCAAAGATAATGGGGAAGTGAATTCTCAGAAAAGATGGCCTTTGCAAAGGTCCTGAGGCAGAATAGAGCTTAACAGGTTTACGAAGCTCATTTAATGTAGTTAGAGGGATTGAGGCAACAGGAGAAATGGCTAGAAGACTAGAAAAGTGGAGGGTCCTGTCTTGAGGATACTGAGAATCATGTAAATGTTTTAATGACATTTCCCTGCCCCTTGCATTTCAACCCATTATTTTTCCTGACAGGCCCTCTTATCTTCAGGTATAAAGGCGCTATGCAGACAAATATATCCTTTCAGGCTGAAACATATGGGCAACTTAGCAAAATCTGTGCTTAGTGGGGCATAGAGTAGAAAGAGTATGGGCTCAAGAATCAAAATTGTTGGGTCTATATGATGTTTTATAAATTTCTTTTCTTTCTTTCTTTTGACACAGTCTTGCTCTGTTGCCCAGGCTGGACTGCAGTGGCACGATCTTGGCTCACTGCAACTTCTGCCTCCCAGGTTCAAGCGATTCTTGTGCCTCAGCCTCCTGAGTAGCTGGGATTACAGGCATGTGCCACCATGCCCAGCTAAATTTTTTGTATTTTTAGTAGAGACAAGGTTTCACCATATTGGCCAGTCTGGTCTCAAACTCCTGACCTCAGATGAGCCACCCACCTCAGCCTCCCAAACTTCTGGGATTACAGGTGTGAGCCACCATGCCCAGCCAAATATTTTACTAACTTCTTAACCTTACCAAGTCACTTTCTTTTTTATACAATTGGGAACGTAACATTTCTAACCTTCATCAGCTCTAGTAATGCCCTCTTTCTAACACAAGTTTCAAGCTCCTCTTTGGGAAAGGAATCACAGAATCAAAATTGTTAAATTATGAAGAGACTTTAAAGTTCTATCTGCATAAGATATTTGCATCCCTTCTGCAACACTGAGGATCAGTTGGTTTATTGTCCAGCATTACTTGTGTCCAGAAACAGGAAGCTCACTGCTGTTTGAAGCAGCGACTCTATGTTTGGGCTCTGTCTATTAAAAGGTTTTTGGAGGGGACCTAATCCAAATTGGCTTCCCTGTGTCCTCTCTTGAGGGATCTTGGTAGTACCTCTAATACCTTTTCCAGGTTGACAGTGCTCCAGGGGCTGGAAGTCATTATCTCTACCACCATTCACTCATTCACCTAGAATGGAAAAGCTAGTTTTTTCAGTTTTTCTAACAACAATAATCAAAGGGTTAATTCATCAAGCAAACACAATCGTGAAACATTTATGTACCTAATAATAGAGCTTAAAAACATGACATAAAAAGTGTTAGTGGGAGATTTTAATAATAACAATTATCATTTGCTGATTACCTACACTGTACTCAGTGTTAAAGATACACGGATAATTCTCCACCAGTCCTGTCAATTAAAGTCAAACAAGTAAACAGGTGGCATACAATGTTACAGATTCTGTGACAGAGAGGTCTGTGCAGGAAAAAGGGCGGGCACTAAGGGAACAGTGATCTTTATGAGAAAGAAGCCTGCCTCTAATGGAAGATGACACAAACTGCACCTTAACATGCCTTCTCTGAGGTGGACTTACCCATTTGTAGTATTTGTTAAAGTATCATTTTAGAGACTTTAGTCACACCAATTATTCTTCAAAATATCCACTGTCAGTAACTCAAATGTATTCCTACAAGAAATGTTAATTTTCCCTGTTGCCATTCTTTACATAGCCTCTTTTCGACCCAATAATGGAAGCCAGGCAAGGAAGAAAAGTGCAATACTATAATTTGTTGTACCTGCAAATGTATACTGCAAATGTTTGGAAGGGTGGAGCCTCAACTAGTCTTTCCTAAGCGCTGAAGTAGAAGAGATGAAGCATACTGTGAGATGAGGCTATACAATAAAGGCCCTACAAGATGTGGGGAGCTGTAAAGCTGTGTGAAAGCAACACAGGACTCACACCCCAAGGTTGGTTTCTTTGTGTTGGGTCCTGTGCTAGATGCTGGGATAAACATGACCTGCCTAGGCAGATGAGGCAAGTGCACAAGGTAATTCAAGACAGAAAGTGCTAGAGAACCTTGGAAAATGATTATTTGATGTGTCCTGGAAGTTCTGAGGACCTGTGAAAATGAAATTAGCCTTCTTAGAGAAGGCAGCATATCTAAGAATAAACATACCAAAGCAGTCCTCCCAACCTCCAGAAGTGGGCCCTTCTCTCTGAGAGCAATACAGAGCAAAAGGCAGTAAAACTGCAGCTTCTTCCTCCAAGAAGAAACTGATGACTCAAAGATATACAAATGACAAACAAGTACATGAAAAGATCATCAACATAACTGATCATCACAGAAATCCAAATCAAAACAGATACCATCTTACCCAAGTTAAAATGGCTTGTATCCAAAAGACAGGCAATAACAAATGTTGGCAAGGATGTGGAGAAAAGGGAACCCTCATACATTGTTGATGGGAATGTAAATTAGTACAGCCACTATGAAGAAGAGTTTAGAGGTTCCTCAAAATCTAAAAATAGAGTGTAGCAATATATGATATAGCAATCTGACTTCTAGGCATGTACTCAAAAGAAATTAGGGGGCTGGGCACTGTGGCTCAGGCCTGTAATCCAAGCACTTTGGGACGCCAAAGTGCAGGCAGATCCCCTGAGGTTAGGAGTGCGAAACCAACCTGGCAAAACCCCATCTCTACTAAAAATACAAAAAGAGTAATGGCATGGTGACATGCACCTGTATGTACTTCCAGCTACTCGGGAGGCTGAGGCAGGAAAATTGCTTGAACCTGGGAGGCAGAGATTGCAGTGAGTCAAGATTGCGCCACTGCACTCCAGCCTTGGTAACAGAATGAGACTCCATCTTAAAAACAACAAAACAAAACAAAAAAACAGTGTATCTGAGCCTGGGCAACATGGTGAGATCCCATCTCTACACACACACACACACACACACAGACACACAAAATTGACCAGATGTGGTGACATGTGCCTATAGTCCCAGTTACTTGGGAGGTTGAGGTGAGAGGATCACTTGAGCCCAGGAGGTTGAAGCTGTAGTGAGCTTGTAGTGAGCTGTGATTGCACCACTGCACTTAGCCTGGGTGACAGAGTGAGACCCTGTCTCAAAAAAAAAAAAAAAAAAGGCCTCTGCACTCTCATGTTTATTGCAGCACTATTCATAATAGACAAGATTTCGAAGAATCCAAATGTTCATCAACGGATGAATGGATAAAGAAAATGTGGAGAAAAGGGAACCCTCATACACTGTACACTGTATATGTACTCTGGTACATATACACCATGGAGTACTATTCAGCCATAAAAAAGAATGAGATCCTGTCATTTGCAACAATGTGGATGGAATTGGAGGTCATTATGTTAAGTTAAATAACCCAGGCACAGAAACAAACTGCGTGTTCTCACGTATTTGTGGAAACTGAAAAAACAGTTGAATTCCTGGAGATAGAAAGCAGAATGACAGTTACCAGAAGTTGAGAAGGATAGTTGGTAGGGGTTAGGTTGGTTGATGGGTACAATAAAATACAGAGAACGAATAAGATCTTGTATTTGATAGCACAATATACTCCATAATAATTTAATAGCACATTTTAAAATAAAAGAGTATGATTGGATTGTTTATAATAACACAAAGGATAAATTTTTGAGGTGATGGATATCTCATTTACCCTGCTGTAATTATTATACATTGTATGCCTGTATCAAAATATCCCATATAGGTTGGGTACGGTGGCTCACGCCTGTAATCCCAGCACTCTGGGAGGCAGGTGAATCACAAGGTCAGGAGTTCAAGACCAGCCTGGCCAACAAGGTGAAACCCGTCTCTACTAAAAATACAAAAATTAGCCAGGCATGGTGGCATGCACCTATAGTTCTAGCTACTTGGGAGGCTGAGGCAGGGGAATTGCTTGAACCCGGGAGGCAGAGATTGCAGTGAGCCAAGGTCATGCCACTGCACTCCAGCCTGAGCAACAGAGAGACTCTGTCTCAAAAAAAAAAAAGGCAGAAACAAGAGTAAAATTCAGTGGAAGCTAAAACTAATATTTTTCACATTTGTTAAAGAAGAAGCCCTTCAAGAAACAGTTATAAAACTAAAGATCATGAAATATTCCCTAAAACAAGAAACAAATAATGAGAAAGAATAGAAAGAAAAGCTTGTTACAGTATGCAAGGCTTCCACCCTTAGAACTAGACAAGGATGATAAAACAAGTGTTATAAGTAAAAAGTACTGATGGGGACAATTCAGGAAACAGAACTATTGAATGGAAGTTCATAGACCGCAGTCCCTGCCCCATTACCCAGATGAAGGCCAAGAGGAGACACTTAAAACAGTGCTCCTTTCACCGAGCAGAGCACAGCACTGCAGTCCGATGATGAATTTGGTGCAAGCCGTTTCTCAACAGATTTGACGTAACAAAGGAATTTAAGAAAACTGTTTTACCTCCATCCTTCATGGAGGGATTTATTATGGTCTCCTCTGCTGGGATACTGGCACAAGTTTATCAGCTCTTCCCTCCAGCTCTTCATTGGCTACCTTTCCCTCCAACCCCCCCCACCCCTTTTTGAGACAGAGTCTCACTCTGTCTCCCAGGCTGGAGTGCAGTGGCGTGATCTCAGCTCACTACAGCCTCAACTTCCTGGGCTCAAGCGATTCTCCCACTTCGGCCTCCCAAGGTAGTTGGGATCACAGGCACATGCCACCATGCCCAGCTGATTTTTTGTAGAGACAGGGTTCCCCATGTTGCCCAGGCTGGTCTCTATAACTCCTAGGCTCAAGTGGCCCACCTGCCTCAGCTTCCCAAAGTGCTGGGATTACAGGTGTGAGCCACAGCGTCTGGCTGCCTTTTTTCTTTAAAGTAGTTCTCTTTAGGTTCTATTATTATCGTTGTTAAGACATTACTTGTATACCATAAAATCCACCTTTTTAAAGTCTATAGTTCATGATCTTTAGTATATTCCCAAGGTTGTACAAACATTACTGCTATCTAATTCCAGACCATTTTAATCTTCCCATAGAAAAGCTTTGAACCCATTAGTAGACATTTCCAATTCCACCTTCCCTCAACAGCCCCTGCCAACCACTAATCTACTGTCTGTCTCTATATATTTACCTATTCTAAATATTTCATATGAATTGAATCATATAATATGTGGCCTTTTGTGTCTTGCTTTTCTTGCTTAATGTTTTTATGGTTTATCTGTGTTGTAACATGCATCAGTATTACATTCTTTTTTATGGCTGAGCAATATTCTATCATATGGATATACTACATTTTGTTTATCCATTTATCACTTGATGAACTTTTGGGCTGTTTCTACTTTTTGACTATTGTAAATAGTACTGCTATGAACATTCATATATGTTTTTGTGTAGACATATGTTTTCATTTCTCTTGGGTATATACCTAGAAGTGGAATTGCTGGGTCATATGGTAACACTATGTTTAACCTTTTGAGGAACTAACTGCCAGACTGTTTTCCAATTTGGCTGCACTATTACATGTTACCATCACAATGTATGAGACATTGGATTCTGCCACATTCTTGCCAATGTTTGTATTCTTAATTATAGCCATCTAGTGGATGTAAAATGGTATCTCATTGTGGTCCTGATTTTCATTTCCCTAACCACTAATGATGTTCAGCATCTCTTCATGTGCTTATTGGCCATTTGTATATCTCCAGAAAAATGTCTATTCAAATTCTTTGCTCAATTTTAATTGGGTTGTCTTTTTGTTATTGCATTATAAGAGTTATTTATATAATCTGGTTACTAGATCTTTACCAGATATGCAAATATTTTCTTCCATTCTGTGGATTTAAATTTCTTGAAATGTCCTTCGAAGCACTCTTGAGCTACTTTTAACCAATATTTCTCTGTGCCTGGTGGCTCATACCTATAATCCCAGCACTTAGGGAGGCCTAGGCAGGTGGATCACTTCAACCACCAAAATTAGCTAGGCTAATTTAGCCCAGCTACTCAAGGCTAAAGTGGGAAGATCGTTTGAGCCTGGGAGGTGGAGGTTGCAGTGAGCTATGATGCACCACTACATTCCAACTTGGCAACAGAATGATACCCTGCATCAAATTAATTAATTAAAAAGCATAAATTATTTAAAAATATTAAACCAGATTAGAAATATGTAGTTGGTGTTCATTTTTATTTATTTATTTTGAGATGGAGTCTTGCTCTGTCACCCAGTCTGGAGTGCAGTGGTGCGATCTCAGTTCGCTGCAACCTCCACCTCCCTGGTTCAAGAGAGTCTCCTGCCTCAGCCTCCCAAGTGGCTGGGATTACGGGTACCCGCCACCACACCCAGCTAATTTTTGTATTTTTAGTAGAAATGGGGTTTCACTATATGGGCCAGGCTGGTCTTGCCTCAGGTGATCCACCCACTTCAGCCTCCCAAAGTGCTGGGATTACAGATGTCAGCCACTGTGCCCAGCCGCCTTAAGCTTTACAAGCAAATGATTGTATACAGACCATGTACTGAAGCTTCCAAACCAAGTCTTGAGTTCATTAAGGGATCCATCATAGTGATAGCTATAGTTCTTACAGCATTTATATGCCAGGCGCTGTTTGGGCACTCTACGTGTATTAACCTATTTAATTCTCATAACAATCCTATTAGGTAGAGACTGTTATCATACTCATTGCACAGATGAGAAAATGGAGGCAGAGAGGGAGGTTAAGTAATTTGCCTGAAATCAAGAGTAGGATACCAGAGATGGGCTCCAGATTTTGTTGCTTTCAACCACTTCCTATACTGCCAAAGTGGAATTAAAGCATTTCAAAGAATGCCTACTCACTCGCTCTGGAGAGAGTGGTGTTTTCCTGGTGTCTGCACTGTGGACATTTTTCCTGTCCTTACCTGTCCAGAAATTAGTAGTGCTCCCCATCCAGGTGTCTTCGTTGCACATTTGCCTTCCCAGTCTGGAGTCCACTTGGCTTCAGGATCCTCTCTCCTCCTCATGGGTCTGACTGAGGCTTTTTTTTTTTTTTGGACGGAGTTTTGCTCTTGTTGCCCAGGCTGGAGTGCAATGGCGCGATTTTGGCTCATCACAACCTGTGCCTCCCGGGTTCAAGCGATTCTCCTGCCTCAGCCTCCTGAGTGGCTGGGATTACAGGCATGTGCCACCAAGCCCGGCTAATTTTTCATTTTTAGTAGAGACGGGGTTTCTCCATGTTGGTCAGGCTAATCTTGAACTCCCAACCTCAGGTGATCCCTTGCGTCGGCCTCCCAAAGGCCTGGGATTATAGGCGTGATCCGCCAAGGCTAGGCCTGACCGAGCCTTTAATGCTCTTTGAAGTAACAGCGAAATAGCCTGTTTCTCAAGTGGAGTGGTTTTAAATTACTGGTAGCCAATGAGCGCCCAGGAGCCGTGGATTCAGCCCAGTGAGGCTCAAAGCTGAGCGGTGGGTGGAGCCAGCGGAGGGGTCGGAATTGAGCCACAGCCGCGGTACCTACTGTGTGCCTCGCACCGCTGCCTGGAGCGGAGCTATGAGCTGGACCTGTCCGCGTTGCCAGCAACCTGTTTTCTTCGGTGAGGCCCGGGCTGAGGAAGGGGCGAAGGTGGGGCAAATGAGAGCCGCTAGATTCCCTGACGATGGCAGAGCTGGCCACCGTGTGCTCCCAGACACCTTTTTCCACCTGCAGTGGCTGGTAGTCTCTGCACCACCACCCGCTTTCACTCAGGTCTTCTCCCCTCCTCTGAGAGTTCTGTGGGGAGTATGACATCGGAGCAGGATGGAGCTGGCCTCCTGGAGACACTCATCTCCAGGGAGCAGGGCAGGCCAAGCTAATTCCCTAGAGGGCTGAAGGGGGAAAGGAGGGGCCCCATGCTTGGACAGGCTCCTCGCAGCTTCGTTCCACTTTGTCCTTCACAGCTGAGAAGGTGAGCTCCCTCGGCAAGAACTGGCACCGCTTCTGCCTGAAATGTGAACACTGCCACAGCGTCCTGTCCCCTGGCGGGCATGCAGAGGTAAGGCCTGGCCAGGGAGCACTGATCTGTTTACATCACTGCCTCCCCGCCCCCCAGGGGCCAGCCCCCAACTTCAGCCCTGGAGGCCTGCCAAAGGGAACCTCAGTAGCCAAACCCTAGGGCGCCCACCTGGTGGACGGCACACCAGCCAGGATTTTGGGAACCTGTGACCGTGGATCCCATGGGGGATAGAAAGGGTGGGAAGCAGCATCACCTCCTGAGCTGCTCTTGCTCTTCCTCCTTTGACCACAGTAGAAATTCTGGTATGCCAGCCCATCCCCCACCACTCCCAGGCCCACCAGACTTAGCCAGTGGACAGACACACCTGGCAGCCTGTCTGGAGGGAAGGCCTGTGGGGCATGGCTCCCGTTGGCCCTGAGTAACCCACTTTCCTCTGCTTGTGCCCAGCACAACGGGAGGCCATACTGCCACAAGCCATGCTATGGGGCTCTCTTTGGACCCAGGGGTAAGTATCAGCCTGAAAGGGGCCAGGGGTCAGCAGAAGCCTCCTTGTGGCTAGGAGCCACAAGGCTGGGTCAGGCTCAAGCCTGACCTCCCTATTCTCTCCTCAGGGGTGAACATTGGTGGTGTGGGCTCCTACTTGTACAACCCTCCGACTCACAGCCCTGGCGGCACCACTCCTCTCAGCCCCAGCAGCTTCAGCCCTCCCAGGCCAAGGACTGGCCTCCCTCAAGGCAAGAAAAGTAAGTGAGGCTGGCTCAGTTCCTCCCAGTCCTCCTCCCGACCCTGCCCCAAGCTGGAGCAGGGGGTGGGGCCAAGTGCCAGTCTCCTACCCAACCCTCTGCTTCACATTCTCACTACCTTTGTTCTTGGCAAAGTCTTCTCTATCTACTCCCCTGCTCCTTTTTTTTTCCTATTTCCTCATGTAAGCTGCTGAGTTAAGAGGTAAATTGTTAGGAGGCCAAGGCGGGCAGATCACAAGGTCAGGAGTTCGAGACCGGCTTGGCCATCAGGGTAAAACCCCTGTCTCTACTAAAAATACAAAAATTGGCTGGACATGGTGGCTGGTGCCTGTAGTCCTAGCTACTTGGGAGGCTGAGGCAGGAGGAATCATTTGAACCCAGGAGGCAGAGGTTGCAGTGAGCTGAGAACTCACCATTGCACTCCAGTCTGGGCAACAGAGCAAGACTCTGTCTCAAAAAAAAAAAAAACGGGTGGTAAATTGGGCTGATCGCATTATCCCCTCTCCTCCCATTTTACAAGTGAGGAAAGTGAGGTCCAGACAGGGCAAATGATCTTCTCCATTCACAAAGCTAGTCAGAGGCAAGGCTGACCAGGAACTTAGGCCTCCCCCAGGCCAGGACCATGGAAGGAATGACCTACAGGAGAGGGGTCATTGGGATAAGGACAGCCCCTTACATTCTTCAACTTTTCTCCTCTGGTCCCTGTTCCTTCCCCCCATACCCTGGAGTAGGCAATGACACTGTGCTCCCCAACACCTGACACCTCTGCCCTGGCCAGCTCCTGTATCAGCTCAAGTTTCCTGAGGATTGAGTTGCTGACAGGGTTGGGATGGTGGGAAGGAAGCAGGTAGTCCCTGATACACATAGGGATGGGCAGAAGGTGGGGTTAAAGGGGGCTCATCTCTGGGCCTGTGGAATGCAGATTCTTGGGTGCCTGAATGGGGCATTCTGGAATGAGCATGGCTTTTGGAAGAGGACAGAGCCATATGCAGGCAGGTGCTAGTGAGTCCTGCTTAGGCCCTCACCTCCACCTCAGACCTAGCCAGGGCCTCTTCCCCTTAAAGGCCCTTCCCATATGAAGACATTCACTGGGGAGACCTCGCTGTGCCCTGGCTGTGGGGAACCTGTCTATTTTGGTAAGTGACAGTGGAAAGCTTGGGGAGGGGGATACAGGGTGGGCAGCAAGAGGCAGGGAGGTGATCGAAGGCAGATGGGTCTCCCTACTCTGCCCCTAAAATGGAAGAACTATCAGTTCTCTTCACCACCAGCTGAGAAGGTGATGTCGTTAGGGAGAAATTGGCACCGACCCTGTTTGAGGTGTCAGCGTTGCCGCAAGACCCTGACTGCTGGGAGTCATGCTGAGGTGAGCAGGGCGGGGATGGGTGGTTACGTTAGGAGGAGGCTGGAGATGGGAAGAAAACCAGGCTGAGACAGTTCTTTCTCTTTGTGTCTCAGCACGATGGAGTCCCCTACTGCCACATCCCCTGCTATGGCTACCTGTTTGGCCCCAAAGGTGGGCAGCCCCACCCCAGACGCCAGGCCTAAAGTATGGCATGTGCATGGGCTATGAGGATGTGTGGACAACTTGGTTGTGGTTAAGCATACCCCGGCCCCTCCCAGTTCCTCCAGCCCTGAATCCTGCACCCACAGACCCAAGGCCTATGGTGATAGGGCTCTCTCTCTCAGGTGTGAACATTGGCGATGTGGGCTGCTACATCTATGACCCAGTGGAGATAAAATTCAATTGAGATGCTCACAGAAAAGTTCACCCTAACTCAGGCCTCTCATCATTCCCCTCATGGTCCAATGGGAGCTACAGAAATCTCCAGTCCCATGCAGGTTGGGGAAGGTGGGATCCTGGGGGCCTGGTCAGAGGCTCCATGGTAGGCCAGAGTCAACACTTTTTCTGCCAATTTTTCCCTTTCCCATTTCTATCTGGTTAGGGAATAGCTCATTTTGAAGGGTATCCTCCTCCTGGCCATCCCAGCCCCTTTCCCCAGCAAATTCTGGAGCTTCAAGGTACTCATAAAACTTGTGTTTATTGAATTTCAGCCTCTCTGGCTTCTCCAATAAAATATTGGCTCCCATGCCTTCAACTCTTCTTTGGGCATGAGACCAGTGGGTTGGAGGATGGGGAGTGTGGGGGTTGGCAGGGGCATGCATTGCCCTGCAAGTTGCCTCGGCGGTAGCAGGGCCAGCCATGAGAACAAAGAGCTCTGTTCTTTTTGTCCCCTTGGGCTGGCATTGGCAGTCCTAGCATCACACAGTAGACAGCATGCCCACCAGCCCCACTGGTACCAGAAGTCTCATATGATAGTCCTTTCTTTAGCACCATCTCTAGAAGAAGCACATTATTCAGCAAGTTATTTGAGCATAGCAACTCATTTGGCATGGTAGGCCCTACCAAGAGGCTTCATAATCCATTTGGGAGATGAACACACAGGCCCAGAGAGGGAAAGCCACATGCCCAAGGTCACATAGCAAATTAATGGTGAAGCTGTCATCAGAGGCCAGGGCGGACTCAGTGGCTTCCTATCCAGGGCTCTTCCGACAGCTCCTCACCACTGCCCCAACCCAAGGGGCACCTTTATTTACAGAATCCTCCCCAGCCATGAGAGGGGTGCCCAGCAGCCTACTGCATTCTGGGAAGTCGACTGTTCCTGGAAGCCAAATAATCAAGGTTGGATAAGCACAGGGAGTAGGTACCGGTGGCAACTCCAGCCCTTGGCAGAGGGTTTGATACTCCCAGCCTGAGTTGCAGGGCCTGCCCTTCTGCTCTCCCAGCTCCTGCTGCAGAGCTTCTGTGGAGGGCCTGCCTCTGCTCCCACTTAGTTCTGGACCTGCTTCATAGGCATCTCTTCCTCCTGAAGACTGGTTGGGGTTCTAGGAAGGAGTCATGGGCAATGATGGGGTTTAATCCCTGAGCCTGCCTCCCCAGCCTGCCCCATCAGGGCTGTCCCAGGGCCCTCCCCAGCTCCTGGTATACAAACACCTGTACTCCCATAAGTGATTCACATATATGTTTGTACACACCCCTGATGTGTAGGCATACTTGAGTGTGCACACATACACATCTTTCTGAACAACCTTATGCATTTGTATTCGTACACACGTATGGATTCATATATACATTTATGCTTGCCATTTACATATCATGGGTCATGCACCCTGAAACACTCACCAGTGCACACTCTCATACATGCACCAAGTACACATGCGCAGATATATTTTCCTGTCTGAATCCTAAGGTGTCAGGTATCTGAGCACCTGCATCCATCTGCATGTGCTCACCCATACAGACACAGTCCTGTGCACACACCTCTTTCTCTCCACGTCTTGGATGGTCTCTGGCAGCTGTGCCTGCCTTGTCTCTGGCAGCAGGAGGGCGGTGCAGGCAGCCAGCAGGGCAATCCCCCCATAAGCAAGGTTGGGCAGCGACAGCCACACTCCATCCAGCAAGGCCGCCAATGGGGCCAAAGAGCCCCCCAGCCGGCCCACCAGTGCAGTCAACCCCATCCCTGTCTGTCTGTTCAGAGAAAGAGAATGAGGGAAGCAGATGGTGTTCACACCTGCCTGGGGTCATGCCCCACAGGGCTCCCCTCCAGGGCAGGCATACCCTGATGCCCCCTTTTCTCCTTATAGCTAAGGAAACTAGGACTTCAGTTGGTTTTCCCACCCACCTTCAGGCTAGGAGGCCCCAAGCCAGCACCCACCAGAGGATGGGGCCCCCATTCTGACAGAGTACCAGTCAGGTACTACTGAAAGAGAAGAAAAGTCACCAGACTGGGATAAGGAAAGCGTGATGTGGAAGGAAGAAGGTCAGTAGTTTGTTTGAGGAGACAAAGCTTTTTCTAAACATGACCAGAAGCCTAGAAGTGTCCTCTTCCCACCTGCCAAGAGCTAGCTGAAAGAGCCCTGGGCCTTTCAAGGGGTTCCCCTTGGGACAGTCCTCAAGGGCATCTCTGCCTTCCAGGGGTGAATGCAATGGGAGTGGGCAGAATGGGGCTTCATGGGCTGTTTTCTTTATTATTATTATTTATTTTAAATTTTTTTATTTATTTGAGAAGGAGTTCCTCACCCAGGCTGGAGTGCAATGGCATAATCTCAGCTCACTGCAACCTCCACCTCCCAGGTTCAAGCGATTCTCCTGCCTCAGCCTCCTCAGTAGCTAGGATTACAAGCATGTGCCACCACGCCCGGCTAATTTTGTATTTTTAGTAGAGATGGGGTTTCACCATATTGGCCAGGCTGGTTTCAAACTCCTGATGTCAAGTGATCTGCCCATCTTGGCCTCCCAAAGTGCTGGAATTACAGGCATGAGCCACAGTGCCCAGCCTTGGGGCTGTTTTCTTAAGGAGGCCCAGAGAGGATGTCTGACTTGGCTCAGGGTCACATAGTACAGAAGATAAGATGCCCTGCCTTCTCCAAGACTAGGGTAAACACAGAGTGCCCTGATTATCTCTGTATTCTGGGTGTACTTTAGAGAATGAGTGAGAGGCTGGGTGCAGTGGCTCATGCCTGTAATACCAGCACTTTTGGAGGCTGAGGCGGGAGGATCACTTGAGGCCAGGAATTTGAGACCAGTCTGGGTAATACAGCAATACCCCATCTCTACCGAAAATTAAAATTAAAAAAAAAAAAAAAGAATGAGTGAGAGAGACCAGGTTGTGGTGTGTATATGTAAAAGTGTTGGTTAAAACACATGACTAACAAGCCCCAAACCCAGGTCGGTTGCAGGCTCCCTCACCTGAGCACAGTAGGGTACAACTCCGAAGTGAACAGGTAGGCAGTAGTGAAGGCAGCTTCAGAAAAACCTTTTCCCATCACTGCCAGGGCAGTGCTCCAGGACTTCATGTCTGGAGGGAAGGGGGTTCAGGTAGTGAGAGGGCTGTGGAGAGGGAGGGTTTCCTGTAGAGGGCAGAGTCTCCAGAGTGGGCCGAACTTAAGTCTGAGCTCACTGGGTAAGGGCAGGGAACTGGGGGAGGAGTGGGTTCTTGGCCAGAAGGTGGGGTCTCCGGGGGGGAGTGGGCGGGGTTCCTGGCCCGGCTTCTTGAGTGGGCAGAACCTATGGGCCAGGGCTCACCGGAGGACATTAGTAGTCTAGTGCCCAATGCCAGGGCGGTGCCCAGCAGTGTCCCGGCTTGCGTGAGGCGGCGTCCTGCGTGGCGCACCGACAGGTAGACCAGCAGCTTGGAGGGCAGTTCCACTACCCCGAACAACAGCTGCGTCTGGTATGTGTTCAGCCCCAGCCCTGACACATCCAGACTCAGGCCATAATAGGAGAAGTTCACTCCGAACCTGAAAGGAGTCACAGTGCCACTTGGAGGACTCTCCTTCCCATCCCTCTTTGTTTGTCCTCTCTTCTCAGGAAAACTTGGCCTTTTACAGGGACAATCTCCTTCAATCTCCGCTTCCCACCTCCTCCCCGCAAGGAGCTTCTCTGACATCCATGATGCCCTTTGAGTGTGCAGCATGCGCCTGCCGGTGGTCAAAGTGCCTTTACCCTAATTTTCACAGCAACTCTGACATGGAACTGACAATAGCCCATTATACAGAAGAACACTGGGGCTCTCAGTGGCTAAGTGATCTGTCTGTGTCCAAGTAAGGAGGTGGGAGTCTGAACTTGAACCCATGCATCTCTGCTGCCTGCTTCATTTTCTGACTTTACCCTGCAGATCGCCCACAGAGGCTTATTCTCCTGCCCTACACAGTTACACTCTCCGGCCCTCCTCAGAGCCCTTCCCATACTCAGCACTAGCCTGGAGTCCACTCCTCTCTCCCACCACACCCACACCAGACCCAAGCCAGCCTCCTCCTCACCACACCACCATGCAGCACAGTGAGATGTGTCGGAGCTGTCGTGTTCGGAACAGGTCTAGGTATGAAGGTCTTCGGACCACCCGTTCCCCAGCGGCCACTTTGCTCACAGCCTGTTAGGGAAGGAGATGGGGCTGTAACATCAGAGTTGGCTATGTGGTCTCAATGAAACACAGTGTTCTCCCCCGCCCCTTCTATTCCATCCACAGTGGTGGGGATGGAGATGCACACAGCAGCTGAGAAGAATGGGTCTCAAATGATGCATATGGCCCACTGGAGCCAGATGGGACATCCTGAACAGTTCCAAACTCTCCATGGGGGGCCAGGGGCTTTTCCTGCCATGTATGGTGGCTCTGGGAGGGAGGCACTTGACACAGCCCACCCCCACCACACATATATATGCATGTTCACACACACATTCACCCTTACCTCCTGGCTGAGGCTGTCCTCACCCACTGGCCGCCCATTGAGCCTGGCACAGTGGAGCAGGTACCTGTGGGCCTCTTCCACACGGCCCTGGGTCAGAAGCCAGCGTGCAGACTCAGGCACCCACCTAGGGATAGGCAGGAGGCCCTTCAGCCAGAAAGTCATGACCCTAAGCCACATTTTCCTGGACATACTGCAGGCTCTCAACTTCCAGGCTTTCGCATACGTAGAGCCTGGATCATCTCCTCCCCAAGTCCTCCACACTTAATGAACTCTTATTCATCTTTTAATGCCCAATGTAAAAGTCACCTCTGGGCTGGGCACAGTGACTCATGCCTGTAAATCCCAACACTTTTGGAGGTCAGGGCAGGAGTGTGGGTTTGAGCCCAGGAGTTCAAGATCAGCCTGGGCAACATGGTGAGACCCTGTCTCTACAAAAAATTTAAATATTAGCTGGGTGTGGTGGCACACACCATAGTCCCAGCTACTCAGGAGGATCACTTGAGCCTGGGAGGTTGAGGCTTCAGTGAGCTGTGATTGTGCCACTGTACTCCAGTAACAGAGCGAGATCTTATCTCAAAATCATCATAATAATAATAATAATGATAATAAAAGCCACCTCTTCCCACACTTCCTTGCCCAGACCTAGGTCCTCCATAGCCTGGGAGTCCCTTACTTAACTAAATTGTCCTTACCCTCAAGACCAGCTCCTAGCACCAGCCACCCACTTCTCCCATGGGTGGCAGTAGGGAATGGGAGGAAGGAGGGACAGACATGCAGATAGGTATCCGGAAAGGCTACCCAAGTCATCTTTGGGAGGCAATGTAGTGCCCACCCTTCCTGTCCTCCCACTCTCCTGCCTGAGCTCCCCACCCCCATGCTGGCCCTGCCTCCTTCCCCCTCTCCAAGGGGCCAGCCTCAGTTTGTGCTGAGTTCTGTCTTTGTCTCTGTCTCTCTCTGTTTCTCCCTGTTCCTTGCCATCTTCTTTCTACTGATCTGTCTCCCTGTTGCTTTTTCTCTGTGTTTCTTTCTGTCTCTTAGTCACTCTGTTTCTTTCCTTTCATCTCTCAATCTCTCTGTCTTCAAATCTCAGACTCTCATCAATCCCATCTTTGACTTCCTGTATCTTGTGCTCCCCAGCTGCCTGCAGTCCTCACCAGAGGCTGAGGATGCCTGGGGCACAAGGCAGGGTGACAGCTAGCAGAAGCCATCGCCAGTCCCGTATCAAGTACCCAACCAGTGCCAGCAGCATCACGCCTCCTGTCCAGAAGGTGCTGCTCAGGACTCCAGCCACGGTGCGGTGTTCCACATCCAGCCACTCCAACTCTGGACCAGGGCAGGAGACAAATGGTTAGTGAGGACAAGATGGGCTCAGTCTCAGTGTGACAGCTGCCTTCTTCCAGCCCTATAGGTCCTGCCTGTTTCTTGCCTGCCTCACCCAGTGGCATCACGATGATGGTAAAGCCAGCCAGGGCTGAGCCAGTGAGGGTGCGGGTGATGGCGAACATTACATAGCTGACGGAGGCTGCAGATGCCAGGCTCAGCACCAGGGTACTCACGTAGGCCACCAGCAACAGACGCCGCCGCCCAAACCTGCAAAGGGTCATGCGGGGTCAGTTTCCTGTGGAGGGAGGTTCTAAGACACAGGTAGACTAGGCTCAACCCCAGCTAGTGGGAGAAGGTTCCCCCAGCCTGTTTCTTATTGGCCCAAAGCCTCACCTCACCTGTCGGACAGATATCCAAAGGCTACAGCCCCCACCAGCACACCGGTGAAGAAGAAAGTGGACACAGCTTTGTTCAGGCCTTTCTGCTCACACACCAGATCCCACTGCAAGGACAGGCAGAAAGGGACCTCTTATGAACATCAGCCCCTCTCCAGCAGGTACCAGCTCCTCCTCCCCAGACCCTGGAGCCTTCTGAGGCCAACTATGCCATTCTGGTACCTCCGTGCCAGATAATAAACCTCCCAACAATTCACGCCAGCTTAGTGAGTGGGAAACTTTGTCCCTCCCCAGTCCTGCAGCCTCAGCTTCTTCCCAAGACAGGCCTCAACCTGCTGCCTCCCAGGAAGACTCTACCTCCACTCACATTCCACCTCCAGATGGATTATGTAAATACCGACCTGGGACTGGAAAAGAGGGAGGGAGAAAAGAAGGCCTCTACTGTTTCTCCTTGCTGCAGAAATTGCCTTCTCAGCTCTTTGTCCCAACTCCCTGAAGCCATTTTAGCCCTTCCCTGCCTTAATCACCTCCCAATTAGTGATGATAATAACAATTCTTGTGTATGAGCCTGTTACTACAAGCCATCAACTAAAAGTGCTTTGTATTCATAGCCCCCATCTACAGATTGGTATACTGAGACTCTTAAGAGGTAAGGTAATATATCTAATGCCTACACAGTAACCACCCAAGGCACTATCCCTCTCACATGTCTCTCAACTTCTGGGCGTAAGTACCTCAGTTGCAATGGTGGAGGAGAACTCTGAGCGGTCGTACTCCCAGCCCTGAGAGCAGGGCACCGTGGCAGGTTCATCCTCCAGCTCTCCACGGCTCTGCCTTTCACCCACCGTGGTGTTGAGGAGAGCCTGGGGGTAGGCAAAGCGGAGGCAGGAGCTAAGCGTGCCATCAGGCTCCCGGGGAAGGTAGGCCTCCAGCCATGCATCCTGATGGCTGAAGTTGGCAGGGGCACCTGGCAGGGCACATCGGTGGGCAGGCACAGCAGCCAGGAAGATGGGCAGGAGGAAGTGCAGTGGTAGCAGCACTCGGGGCAGGGCCAACAGTGCCACATTCCGCAGTTGGAAGGGCCCAAAGCCGCCCACCTGTTCCAGCAGCTCCTCAAAGCCCATGCTGCTCACCCACCAACTGTTTCAGGTGCAGCCGCCGTCTAGTATCCAGCCAGCTCAAACTGCCCACCACATAGACCCTTGGACTCTGGAGGCGGGAGTGGATGGGCTGAGTAGAGAGTCTGCAGCCAGAATCCAGCCCTCAGGGGCTGGCCCAGGACTGGGCCCTCCCAGCCGCCCAGGTCTCCAGGGACCCCTACCTGTCTGGCCTGGTGCCCGGGGAAATGGGAAGCCATCCAGAGGTCACTATTCATGGCTCTGGGGCTTACCGATTAGTGCTTAGGGACCAAGTAGGGGAGCTTCAGGCTACCATGATGAGGTAACTGGGTGATGGCATAGGAGGTGAGCCCCTAGCCCCTTGGTCAGCAAAACTCCAAAGATCCCTAAGAAGAGGAGGCCCCTGGGGCATGGGGCTAGGTCTCCTGGGGTGCCCTTTGTCCTATGAGACCTTAGGTCAGCCTTGCCTATTTGCAGCTACAGCCATGGCCTGGCTGACAGCCCGGGATTCAGGGCTGAAAGCTGTATCCCAACCAGGTTTCTTTCTGCTGAGCCAGGATGCCCTTCCTTGCATCCCTCTCCCTCGCTGGGAGCTGATCCCCTAACCTAAGACATGCTGTGATCGATCACACTGGGCAGCTTGACCTCTCCAAGGGTCCCAGACTCATCCCATTCTCACTTCACTCAGGGGCTCTCCCCATACATATGGTTCCAACTGCCTGCCCCATTCTCCTATTGCCAGGAGCTTCCTAAATTACCATTTGGAGGGGTGGGGAATGGTGGGGGACACGTTGCCAAGGTCTTGCCATAGGTATCTGCAATGCCTAAGATTACCTTTGGAGAAGTAGGGGATGGGGGGTGTTGCCAAGGTCTTGTTGTAAGGTTTATTGCGGAGTTTAAAATGAGGAAACTGAGGCCAGTATAAGAAAATGAAAATCCAATTTATTCAGCTCCCGGGTGAGGTTCCATGGTCCCGGGGAAAGGGGCCAGGGAAGTCGCCCCAACTTCCTGGGGCGTGGGGTTTTTATGGAACGAGCAACAGCTGGGTGCTCTGATTAACTCTAGGGGAGTGGGATTGAGATGGGGCAGGCCACTATTGGTTGGCAGGTTGTTGGGTGGGTTTTCCGGTGGGAGAACCGGCCAGGAGCCTTGCATCAGCTGGAGCCTTCCAGGGGAGCCATGCGGCAGAGCTAGGTGCCAAGTGCAGAGCCCGGTGCCGGGTGCAGAGGTGGGTGTGTCCAACTTCCTGGCGAGGCAACTGGCCTTACACTTGTCGTAGGTACCTGCAATGCCTAAGACTCAATGCTCAATCTGACCCTCCCACTCAATTCTCAATCGTGGTCCCTGAAGCAAAAGCACAGCAGAAACCATCAATGTCCAGTTTATTCTCTGATTCTCTAAACAGCAGGCTGGCAGAAACACTAGTTTAATCTAGCTGCTACTTTGAACATGTCAGAAAACTAAAGGTAGGATGGGGACCTGCTGGGGTCATGTGGCAACTCAGCAGCAGAGCTGAAGAAAGGACCAGGTCCCCTGACTCCAGACCAGGAATCTCACCTTTGACCCAAGCTGCTGAGCTGGTGATGTCTCAGTCTGTTCCAGGCTGGGCTCCCTGAGAAAGCTCTGGGAAAGGAGTAAAATTGATGGCATGTCATGTTTTTGTTTTTGTTTTTGTTTTTGAGATGGAGTCTTGAACTGTTGCCCAGGCTGTAGTGCAGTGGCGTGATCTTGGCTCACTGAAATCTCCGCCTCCTGGGTTCAAGCAGTTCTCCTGCCTAAGCCTCCTGAGTAGCTTGGACTATAGGCATGCGCCACTATGCCCAGCTAATTTTTTTGTATTTTTAGTAGAGATGGGGTTTCACCATGTTGGCCAGGATGGTCTTGATCTCCTGACCTGGTGATCTGCCCACCTCAGCCTCCCAAAGTGCTGGGATTACTGGTGTGAGCCACCGTGCCTGGCGGGCATGTCGTGTGTTAATGTAGGTGCTGACAGCCATGGAGTGAGGGCTGTGATGGGAAGCAAGAGGTAGCTAATGGTGGTGGCAGTGACAGGGGCTGACAAGAAGAAGAGACATTTGAGTCTCTAGTGCATCCTCAGCATTCTGGAAGGTACACAGATGCCTTGGACACAGTCCTTACCCTTAGGGAGCTTACAGGAGGGTTAAAATAACCCACCCCTCCCTGCCTTCAGTTACCCTTTTCAACCTGTTCTCGACACACTGGCCACAGTGAACATTTAAACACAGATCTAAGAGGGTCATATCCCTGTTTAAACTCTTCACTAGCTTCTACTGCCTGAGGGGGAAAGTCTAGTTCCTTATCTTGGCCCCTGTGACTTCCCTAGGACCAGTTTCTCTCCCCCAGCCCACCCCAGACCCCTCCCCAATATGCCCCCTTGCCTCCAGGTCTCTGCACACATCAGCTTATCAGCATGTCACACTCTAGTATGGTCCCTTGGACAACATGGCCTCCTCCTCATTCACCAAATGGATTCCCAGGGCTCCCTGAAGAGCAGCTCAAGAGGAGACACTTCCACCCCTCTCACCCTCACTCATGTGTGACCTCACACTGTTGATTCCTCCCTCGTTTAATACTATGTAATCGTATTATTGATATAAAATGCACAAAATACCATAATACTTTGCAGCTCCAGAGAGGTAAGTTTTTTGGTCACCTGATCTCCATGTCCCATCCAGTGGCTCCACAGGGTAATACACTGAAGTTTTTCCACAGCCAGAGAAGACAGCCAAGGAGGCCAACCTCAGCCATTGTCTGTGACGCCTTAGATTTCACAATGGGAATTTCTCTCCTGCTTTAATATCAGAAATAGCTGATAATCATACAGTGCTTACCTCTCCCTCTTGACATGGGCTCCTAGGAAACTCAAATCTAAATCTGCAGTTCTGGCTGGCCATGGTGGCTCTCACCTGTAATCCCAGCCCTTTGGGAGGCCGAAGCGGGTGGATCACCTGAGGTCAGGAGTTTGAGACCAGCCTGGCCAACATGGCGAAACTCCGTCTCTACCAAAAATAAAAAAAGCCAGACCTGGTGGTGAGCACCTGTAATCCCAGCTACTCAGGAGGCTGAGGCAGGAGAATCGCTTGAACCCAGGAGGCGGAAGTTGCAGTGAACCGAGATTGCACCATTGCCCTCCACCCTGGGTAACAAGAGTGAAACTCCATCTCAAACAAATAAATAAATAAATATGCAGTACCTTTCTACAGAGAATAATTTGGCATTAATTTTACCCTGGCTCCATCTTATTCCCTGGCCCTATCCCATATGGAAGCTCTCTTCTCTGATGTCATTGAGGAATGATGGTGACAGTGACCATGATGGCTGATGATGGAGCTGGACAGGCAGGTATGAAATGCTGAGTCTTACCAGAGGATAGATAGATCAACTCTGAGTCACCAGGTAAGAGCTGGTTTTGATTGGATTGTAACCATCCTCCCACCTCTCCAACCTGGGAATTCTAACCTGAGCTCAGAGGCCAAGGTAGAGACCTTTATACCAAACTGGATAATGAGGAGCCTTGTGCAATGGAAAAATAACAACTCCTGGCCAGGCATAGTGCCTCATGCTTGTAATCCCAGCACTTTGGGAGGCCAAGGCAAGAGAATCACTGGAGGTCAGGAATTCGAGACCAGCCTGGCCAATCTGGTGAAATCCCCATCTCTACTAAAATACAAAAATTAGCTGGGAATGGTGGCGCACGTCTGTAATCCCTGCTACTCAGGAGGCTGAGGCAAGATAATTGCTTGAACAGGGACCTGGGAGGTGGAGGTTGCAGTGAGCCAAGATGGCACCACTGCACTCCAGCTTGGGCTAGAGAGTAAGACTCCGTCTCAAAAAAAAAAGAAAGAAAGAGAGAGAGAGAGAGAGAGAAAGAAAGAAAGAGAAAACTCTTTAATTGGAATTATTACTAGGATTATTGAAAGTTTCAGGAAAAATGCATTCCTGGAGTAAACAATTTGAGATTTCTTGCAATACAGACTTCTTACACTTTAGGCCTTTTACTCTTTTGCCCCTCCATTGAGTGACCTCAGATGACCTACCCATCTTAATTGGGGCTTCAGTGACCATTAACCATTGCTAGAACCCATGTAATCACTTCCTACACTGATGATGGTGACAATGACAAATCACTTGCAGTGGTAAGTATGGTAATGGATGGTATAATTGTAAGGGAGGTGGGGATCCTGGTGATGGAAGTGATGGTGACTGGGGTGATTGGAGCAGAGATGACGAGGTGGGGCTAGGGCCACTGGTAGCAGTGATGTGGTCATAAGGGTAGTGGTGGTGATAGTGGTGATGATAATGGTGGTGATATGGTGATGGTGGTACTGATGATGGTGGTGATGTGATGGTGGTAATGGTGGTGGTGATGTGGTGATGGTGGTAATGATGGTGGTGGTGATATGGTGATGATGGTGATGTGGTAATGATGGTAATGGTGGTGGTGATATGATGGTGGTAATGGTGGTGATGTGATGGTAATGGTGGTGATGTGGTGATGGTGGTAATGATGGTGATTATGTGGTGATGGTGGTAATGGTGGTGATGATGTGATGATAGTGGTGGTGATGTGATGGTGGTAATGATGGTGATTATGTGGTGATGGTGGTAATGGTGGTGGTGATGTGATGGTAATGGTGGTGGTGGTGATGTGATGGTAATGGTGGTTGTGATGATGTGGTGATGGTAGTAATGATGGTGGTGGTGATGTAGTGATGGTGGTAATGATGGTGGTGATGTGGTGATGGTGGTAATGATGGTGGTGGTGATATGGTGATGGTGGTGATGTGGTAATGATGGTAATGGTGGTGGTGATGTGATGGTGGTAATGATGGTGGTGGTGATGTGGTGATGGTGGTGATGATGGTGTGGTGATGTGGTGATGGTGGTAATGGTGATAGTGATGTGATTGTGGTGGTGATGTGGTGATGGTGGTGGTGGTGTGATGGTGGTAATGGTGGTGGTGGTGATGTGATAGTGGTGATTGTGGTGGTGATGTAGTGATGGTGGTGATGGTGGTGGTGATGTGGTGATGATGTGGTGATGATGGTAATGATGGTGGTGGTGATGATGGTAATGGTGGTAATG